GATTTAAGACCAATGCAAAAAAGGGGACTTACGACTCTATCAAAGTTCCAGGGTTTGGGCTCCTTCCGAAGTCATATGACCGAACTTGGGGCGCTCAGAAACTTGGCTGCATTTATGGCCATTTGCAGTGTCCCAGTCACATGAACTTGTTTTACAACAGTATTGCCCAAAAACCTGGCATTTCTGGTTTTCAGCACTTGGTTTGCTTAATAAATGCTTCAACCACTTTACAACTGACCCCCACCCCCAAAAAAGTCTTAAAATCAGGTTGGTTACATGGCTGGCTTGTTTTATGACAGGTACAATATACAACCATAATGGGCAGGCTCCATTACAGTTGTTTGCCGAGGACTACTTGCATGTAGTGCATTAGTGGGACGGATGTTTACCTTGCTTATTTAACATCATTGTTTTTTTTAAATTTTGTTGTTGTTGTTGATTAATATTGTGAGCAGATTAGAACTGTTTTGGAGTCAAGTAAAACCTAAAACTAAAAAAATAAATAATTTTACGTTATCATCATTATTAGAACATGTGGTTTCTCTTAAAAGCATATACTCAAAATTTTAGCTATGCGAGTGCTTTTAACTACAATTTTTATTCAGATGCTCTTTTATCAAATTTACGAAAGTCTAGTTTGCAATGAGTTTAAATGAGATACAACTGAGAAAATATGGAACAATATTTTCATTAACTGAATACAGAATACAAATTTGATCAAGGTATTGCACAAAGTATAAATAGTTAAATCTGCAGCATACCTAAACAGAATCCCTATGAAACAAATTACATCAAAGCAGTATTCATTCTACACAACCCTACATTAATATAGAAGACAGTGTGAAGCAGATATTCCCAAATAATGGATTCTTAACCATAAAGCCTTGTGTCCTAAACATACTTTAATTAGAGACACAGTTAGAAAGTTGTAGAGTCCCACCCTGCAGCCACCTGTCCTCCTCTTTTCCTTTGCAAAGAATGCCTAAAAAAAAATCACTTTTTTCAAGAAAAGATAGTGGATAATTGCAGAACAGGTAAGGGAGGGAAGGAGAGTAACCTGCAGAGACTGGAAATACAATAATCTATTGAAGACAACACGGAGTCTAAAGCTAGCAGGATGAGGGGAGGGAAGGCAAGGCAAGGCAAGGAGGAAGAAGAGGAGGAGCACATATATAAACCAAATGCTTACAATGTTATTAGATTATACGTTGAACAGATGCAGTTAATTTTCAAAATCCCTGAATTTCCTAAGCCTTCCAAGAGATGCCTGGAAGTAAATCTATAACCTCATTTAAAATTTACACTGGAAAAGTGCTTTCATGCTTTTAAACCAAGATTTTCTGGAAGTCTTGCAAGGAACATGCATAAGTAAGACTGCACGTACAATTTTTTTCAATGGTACTAAGAATCTCTAATTGTCCAGGGAGCAATAATTTACAAAGCATCATATTTATTACAATGACAACTTTTATGTCTACATCATAGGTGACAAACAATATGCTTTCTTACTTACAAACAGAATGACTATTTGAGCCAAAGAAAGTTACTGTGAGAATGCTTCAAATTTTATCTGACATTTTACAGCATGGGTACGTATCTTTTTTAGGTTGAAAGATGCATAACTCTTATTTTTTCTTCTTCTTTTATTCAATCATGTCCAATTCTTGCCTTAGGGACAAAGCCAGATGGGTGACCTTGAGCCAGTCACTTTCTAGCAGCCCTACAGAGGAGACAATGGCAAACCACTTCCAAAAAACCTTGCCAAGAAAACAGAATGGAGAATCAGACATGACTGAACAGAAGAAAAAAAATGGAACGAGACTAAGGACCCTCTATGAGGCCATACTAAAGAATATTTGCTCATATTTAGACTGAATGGGCAGAGCCAGTTAAGGTGAGAGAAGCATGTTTTTTCTTGGTTACAGGGAGGAGCTCAATCCTATGATTCCAGACGAAATGGACAGGATGTTTGGAGCTATTAAGGTGGTCACCTGTTTGTTCCTACCCTGGTTCCACCAGCCTTTAAGTAGTCATGCACTTTTTCTTCAAGAACTGATCACTGAACTCAATCATCCTGGATAATATTGATCCAGTTTTCAATCTTCATCTTTTGTGGAAGGTCACTGAATAGTGGTAAACCTGCAGCTATAGAGGATCTTGGTTTTAACAGATTATCTAGATCCTTTCCAAGTCTGTGTCCATTGACTGTTGATGACCTATGGCAGAGCTGAGGTAGGAGTGGTACAACCATAATGGGCTTCTTAGATCTCTCAGTGCTCTCATCCTGAAGCAGCTGAAAGAAGTGAGAGTTGGAGCACAATAATATCATAGTTCTCCTCTGTGGCCAATTTGTGAGATCAATGTTCTCACCACCACCACCACCCCGCTGTTTAACATCTATATAAGGGCATGAGGAAAGATCTAAGATCAGGTATTATCACTACACTGATGATACTGATTATACAAGTCAATTCCTGGACTATTAAGCAATGCTATGTCATATCTTGAGGAGATAGGGAGGTACACACTCAATTTCAACTCTGAGAACATAGAAGTGCTGTAGGAGAACTCCAGTCCTGGAGACTTTCTATCTTTAATTCTGAAGAAATTACATTGCCATAACCAGGACAGGTGTTCAGTCTAGGAATCTTCCTGGACTCTCTGCTCATGCTCAAGGAGCAAATGACTACATAGGAAGGCTATATAGCCCTCATCTTGTCAGAACACAGACAAGTGATCTACAAATACCCAGTCCTTCCCCATCTCCAGCCTTGAATTAATGTGGGGAGGCACACAGTAATGTGGAAATATCTTATGAAGTTGCTGTATTTTTATATAATTTTGTTTCTTTTAATTTTGTAAAGCTGTCCAGAGTCATTTAGGAGTTGAGTGGTTTAAAAATTTCACAATTAAGAATCAATTGATCAATTAGTATGCAATGTGACCACCTCATTACTTCTTAAGCTCCAAATGCTTACTTGTATGGTACAATATCAGAATATTCATGGCTGCATTATGAAATATCACATGCAATGTAATATGTACTTCTTAAAGTTTAGAAATAATTGTAATATTTTCAGTGCATAACAGCTTTTAGCCAAATGTATCAGACAAGTGACAGTTACTTTGGTGTACCATTTTTTCAAAACCATTGCCAAGGTAACCTTAAGATTTTCCAGGAAATCAACAATAAAAACAATAAAAACACTGTTGCCTATGTCTGTGTGGAAGGTACAGACTCACTGGCCCTTCATTATAACACACAGGAGACTGGAAAGCTTTTAAATTCTCTCAATGCTCTGCAAGATTGAAATAGTATATGAATTCAGTATGTGAATAATACTGAACTATACAATTCACACTGATAAAATACATGTGGGAAAAAAATAAAGCCGCTATTTTTAAAAGTCCATAAAGTAATCACTTATGTTTTTCATCAAGGTAAAGAAATGAGACCTGCATCCAAAAATGTAAAACTTTCAATTAACATGTATAAAATAAGTCTGAAACATTAGGTTATCACATTCACTTGTAAGTCAAGTCAAAAACACAGACTGAAAAGCATAAATGTATAATTTATAAATGTAATAAATAATAAATAAATATAATTTATAAATGTAATAAATAATAATACAGGTAATTCTCAATTTGCAACAGTTTATTTAGTGACCGTTGAAAGTTACCACAGCACTGAAAAAAAATGACTTATGGTTGTTTTTTACACTTACGACCATGTGCAGCATCCCTGCGGTCACGTGATCAAAATTCAGATACTTGTCAACTGACTCCTATTTATGACGGTTGCAGTGTCCCAGGGTCACGTGATCATTTTTTTTGTGTGACCTTCTGACAAGCAGAGTCCAAGGAGACAGCCAGATTCAACTTAACCGTGTTACTAACTTAACTGTGGCGAGGGAAGGTCGTAAAATGGGGCAAAAACCCACTTAACAAACGTCTCACTTAGCAACATACATTTTGGCTCGTCGTTGTCCTAAGTCGATATTGATTCTCTAAAAAAAAGGTTCCAAAGATAACAAGAGTTTGGGAAAATAACGCTCTTAAAAATTACTTCAAGTTAGTGCAGTTTTAAAGCACTTGTGTTTTTTTCTTTTAAACGGCACTTCCACTTTCAACCAGAGAGGGAGCTCTGCTCCAAGCCCAGCTTGCTGCCTAATACAACAGACACAGAAATGTGGGGGGGAGGAAGGGGGAGAGAGAGGGGGGGAAGAGAGAGAGAGAGAGAGAGAGAGAGAGAGAGAGAACACCCCACACATACTCTTGAGCGCTGCCTTGTCAATTGTTCAAAGCCAGACAATCCCCTCTCTTTTGCGCAAGCCTCTCCCCTCCGCCACCGCTCTCCGCCCTCGCCCCGGCCAGACTTTGCGTCTCCTCCCCCCACTTGCCAAACGACCGCCAAGCAGCTTCTTTCTCGGCTCCCAGCTCTCTTGTCACCCTACCTCAAATGACCTCCCTCGCAATCCCAGCCCGCCTCCCTCTGTCTCCCTCAGCGCAGCGCAGCGCGGCTCGCCGCTCACGTCTCCCTCTTGCAACATCCCCAGCTGCCGCGCAACGACGCTCCTCCACCACGACCCAGCCAGCCCGCCCGCTCCGAGGCGTTCTTCCCCAAATCAGACCCCCTCCCTCGTTTCTTTCTCCCCCCCCCCCAGCCTCCCCGCGGGGTTTCGCAAGCCCCTCATCCGCAGCGGGAGCGCTCTCCCCCCCCCTCTCCGCTCACGCCAGAGTTCAAGCAGGGGCCCCTCTCCCGAGCCAGCCGCTGACACTCCAACCTTGACGGCCGCACGGAGACAATGAGACGCCGCTCCGCTCCCCTTCAGGCGGCGACCCCCCCACCTCACACACACACAAGCAGCCCGTCAAATGACTCGAGCCGCCGGACCTTCTTCCTCCAAAAGGTCCCGCCGTCCCATCCTCTCTCTCTCTCTCTCTCTCTCTCTCTCCCCCCCCCCGTGTTCCTCTTCGTCGCCCCCTCCCCGGCTTACCCGGACCGAGTCCTCATCTTGCCCGGCAGCCGCCGCCGCCGCCGCCGCCGCCGCGGCTGCCGCTGCTTTGGCACTAGTCCTGGACAAGCGGGTCCTGGATGAGATGAAATGGCCGCCGGGCCCCGGGACCGTCGCCGCCGCCGCCGCTTTCCCGGAGAGACGCTGAGATTGGGAGCTCTTTCGGGTGTTCACCATGGCCTCACTGCAGCCACCCCGGGAAGGGCGGCGCTGCCGCTGACTCCACCGCCTCTGCTTGTGGGGAGCGACGCCGCTGCCGAGCCAGAAAGAACAAGGGCCCGAAGGCGCGGAGCGCTCCTCCTCCTCCTCCTCTTCAGCTCAGTCACCCACCACTAACTGGCCGCCATTACTCGTTCTCTCGTCCCTTTCTCTCCTCGGTCACGGCGAAGCCTCCCGCTTCCACTGCGAGGCGCTGCTTCGCCGCCGCCTCTCATAGGGCCGCCTCTTCTTCCACCTCCTCCCTACACCTGGCAACATAGAGGCGGAAAATGATGAGAGCGTGACATATGGGCTGAGTTTCCGGCGAAGATTGAAAGCCGTCATAGGCCGGGAGTGTCTATGAGCCCTGGGGGTGCCTCTCTAGATTCTGTCATCTCTATGGTGGAGGTTCTCTACTATACTCTGCTGTACTTTTACATCGGCCGCTAAAGGGGGAAACCAGTCAAGTTTTAGGCCGGAAGTGCCTGTAGGGAACGCTCTGATGCAGTGTTTCTCAACCTTGACAATTTTAAGGCATGTGGACTTCAACTCCCAGAATTCCACAGCCAGCAATGCTGGCTGTGGAATTCTGGGAGTTGAAGTCCACATGCCTTAAAATTGTCAAGGTTGAGAAACACTGCTTCTGATGTTTACTATGCGTGATGCAATACTTGCGGCGCTCTGCAATGGCGTGCTCTATGGTTGTTTTAAACGGGGCGGGATTAAGGAAGGTGAGGGAGGTGGGAGGATTTTGCGTGCTTAGGAATGAGCTTCTTGGGACTGAACGGAATTGCTGAAACTGGGTTTGAGAAACGGTAACTAACTGTGATTCAGTATTTGCTTTTCTCGGAATGGAGAAAGTGGAGAATCCGATTTAAAAGGATTTCTTCTTAGAAAAGGAGGTTTTAATCCGTAAGTAATGGAAATCTGTTAACACGTTTCACTCCATTGATTCTTCCATCCATAGGAAGGATTGTCACCTGGAGAGCACCGAAGTTTATATCTCGATGTTGGTGCTTCTTGCTAATTAACCTGAAGTAATGTGTTGCGCTCCCCGAAATTTACTCACAAAACTCTGCCTATAAAAACTCCAGTCGAATATATTTGGTTTACTAACTTAAAAAAATACCTTATACAAAATAAGGATTTGCATAGCAAATTTTGCACCAGTATGTCATCGCCTTTCATTTACTTTCCAATCATAGTTAATAAAATTAATTTGGTTCCTAAATTAAGAATGAAGCTGTGTGGGAGTTTATCTGGCATTAAGTCATAGTAAAATTTATTTTATTAAATTTTATTTAAAATTTAACCACTCTGGCATAGGGGAACAAGAGGAATAGGTTCTCAGGTTCCCTTTCAGCTAGTTTCTTGAATCTTAAAATTATGTGAAACTTGTTTCTGCTTGTTCATACAATATGCTAAACCAGGGGTCTGCAGCCTTGACAACTTTAAGACTTGTGGACTTCAGCTCAGCATAGCTGGCTGAGGAATTCTGGGAGCTGAAGTCCACAAGTCTTAAAGTTGTCAAGGTTGCAGACCCCTGTGCTAAGCCAAGATATGGTGTGCTTGTTTCTGATTTAGCACATTGTATTAATCCATCTGATTGTGGTTTATTCAAAAAACATACATTGCTTAATGCTTTGGGTGAATATAGCCAAATAAGGCAACATAATTTTTAGTCAGCCTGCTAGGAGAAACTGCTTTAAGTTGTTTGAGGCATGTATCCGTTTAGGAGGAGTAGCTGATTGCTCTCAACAGCAGTCTTTGAATAACAAATAATTGGCTGTTGGGAGAAGGCTTACCTCCCCAGGCTGAGAAAAGGGGGAGAATGGAGCTATTATTTTCCCAGACCTCTAATGACTGAGTGATGTACATTCCAACTTCTATAAATTGGGTAGAAAACAGTACAATAAAGAAAACAAATCAATGTTACATAACCTATATTACACCAAATATAAACAATATAATATAAACAAATCAAAAGACTTTTCACTACTACAATATAACATAGCAAGATTATAGCATTCCAGCCCCCAAGTCCTGGTGGAATAATTATATTTTAATAGGAGGGAAGGGGCCATCCAGTTATCTGGAGGAATTATGTTCTACAGAAGGAGGGCAGAAATTGAGAAGCTTCACTTCTATAGTCTTTAGATATGGTATTCCCTTAACAAATGGACTTGAAAACAGCCAATTTACCAGATCTGGTTGGAGGGGAAATTACTATTGGGAATATATAATCCCATATATATATTCATGTGCTGAATCATGAAGATAACACCTTGAATTGCATCCATAAGCCAACTGTGAAATCTGAAGCTACCACATTCTGGACCTGTAGTTTCTAAATTACCTTTATTGACAGCCCCACATAGAACACATTTCAGCAGTTTGGATGATCTTCCCATTCCAGGAACAGTTGTAAATGACAGACCTGATGGAGATATGCTAAGATCTTTCTAATCACATCTACCACATGCTCAATGAGCAAAAGCTGTGAATCTAGGAGAATCCCAAGGTTACAAGCTAATTCCACCTAGGACCATGAACCCATCTTGTCAGAGCGTGCACAGTCTTATTGCGTGAGATAACCCAGGAGTAAACACAGTAAACAGTGGTCTATAGTAAATGGTGGCTTATTTTACACTATCTACAATATCATACACCAGGAACAATATACATACACATGCTAATACAGCAGGATCCAACAAACCACAGTAACAGAAAACAGAAGAGAAAGAACACATCAGCAGAGCCTTTCCTTTATACAAAGATTCTTAAAGAGACACAGACCCTGCTAAGTCAATATCTTACATAAGCTGGTTAGCTGTTAAATCAATACCTTGACACATCTTGAATGTCTAGAATGGGATGGTGCCTGAAACCAAAACCACTCCATCTTCCTTAGATTATATCTGAGCCTTTCTTCCCCAACCCAACCCTAATAGCCATTAGACCTCTGGTGAGGCCCTCAATATCAACAACTATTTGCCAAGATTTATTATTAAGTATCATCAGTTGTGTCAGACAGCAACCTCACTCAGTGGCTTCAACTGGGAATAAAATAAGAGTGGTGAAAGCAGAGGTGTCAAACTCGCCGTGTCACGTGACATGTCGCAATGTATCGTGACTTTTTCCCCCTTGCTGAAGCTGGGGTGGGCATGGCTTCTGTGTGACGCATCCGGCCGATGGGCCAGCAGTTTGGCACCCTTGGGTTAGAGCATTTGGCTTCTACAGCATTATACAACTGAAGAACATTGGGTCTGATCTCTACCACTGATTGGAACCACCGGTTTAGAAAGGGGCAGAATTAGTGAACAACAGCACCACCCACTTCCAACTTTTAGAGGCTGTCCAAAACAATGCAATACATATATAAGTAGCCCTTGACTTATGATCACAATTGAGCCCAAAATGTATGTTGCTAAGCAAGACAGTTAAGTGAGGCTTACCCCCATTTTATGACCTTTCTTGCCACAGTTGTTAAGCAAATCACTGTAATTGTTAAGTTAATAACAAGTTAGTAATTGTTAAATGAATCTGGCTTCCCCAGTGACTTGGCTTGTCAGAAGGTCACAAAAAGGTGATCCAATGAATCCAGAATACTGCAACCTTCCTAAATGCATGCTAATTGCCAAGGGGGCAGAATTTTGATCACGTTACCACAGTTGTAAGTGAAAAACAGTCATAAGTCAGTGCTGTTGTAACTTCAAACAGTCACTAAACGAATGGTTGTAAGTTGAGACTACCTATATGCATTGCTCTGTGTGTATTCGCAGAGAATCTGTTTCCTGTAGGGCATGCTGCAGGTGCAAAGTTGGCCCTGGAAGAATCCTAGAAATCTGTAGCTGCAATAAACCCTTTGGTGCCTCTGCCAGAATCTCTTAAAACTTCCTCCTATTCTCATCATAAAAATATGTAGACATACATATTTTTCAACATCAGTCACATCCAGTAAATTTATGCTGAATCAAACCAAAAGAGGTAAACATTGCCAGTTCTGTTTCTATAGTTGAAATATTTGTTCCAAGAATAATGTGGCAAATAGGTGAAGATTCCAGATTATAAGGATTGGAGGACCTAATCCAGCTCCTTTGTAAAGGAGCAGCAGCATTTCTTTCTTTTGCTGTGAATTTTTATTTTCCCTAAATCGTTTTTTTCTAAGTTGTTTGCTCCCCTCCCTTTGAATGTGGGCTCTATTATTTATTTATACATGCTTTCCCTGGCCACTGCAGTCTTCCAAAGGCAATTTGTAATGCAGTGCTGGATCAGCATATTGCAATATGAAAAGCTCGTAAGTTATCTTCAAAAGAATACATTTCTATTTTTCTATTCAGAAAGACTTCAACAATAAACAAGTGAAACCGAGTTTATCATATGCTGTATGTTATTGCATAATATCATTGAAAAATATTGTATGAGAGAAAATAACATACTTAAGAAAATGCTCAGTTGATGTTTTCCCTATGCAGAAAGTCCTTGGCTGTGTTTTTTGAGAACTGATATAGACACTACTACCTTCAGTTAATCCTTGAAAGGACTTCTGGAGGCAATTCCCTCTCTCATTGTTCTTCAGGTATATATGAATCAACCATCTCACTTGCTCCCCTGAAAACAGTGGTACTACACACAAACTTTCTAAGGGTTGCAGAATTACCAACTGAAATGTAATCTATATAAATAAAAATGTAAATGTTCGTTTGTTCAAAATCTTAAATCGCTGAAAGGTCTTCACCGATTGCTTTGAAATTTTGACACAGCGTTGCATTCGAATACGCGCGTGTTTTTATATACCTATATTATATAGATGTCACACCTGTGACAGGTAAAAACATGCTTTTTTGAAAAACAGCGCCATCTGTTGGACATAAAAGCAACACACGCTTTTACCAGACTGAGCCACAGCAATGCGTGGCTGGGTACAGCTAGTATCCAAATAAAGTTGTAGACAAAATATATTTGCTTAGTTTTTATGG